GCCACTATCCTCCTGGTGTTCACTATGGCCATCGCCAGCCTGGTGAGGACAAAGGGGGTTCTATCTACCACCATCAGGGCATATTGGACCTGTTGGGGGTTGAAAGGGGATTCCTGGATATAGAATGACAGCTGATCTAAGACTAAAGGATGCTGGTGTGTGTGTGTGTGTGTGTGTGTGTGTGTGTGTGTGTGTGTGTGTTCTACCCTCCAGGGGTAATCACTGTTAACATTTAGTTGAATGTCCTTTCTATCCTTTCTGTTTCTGTAGGCATATACCATTCTTAACTTACTTGGCTAAGTTTATAGAATTTATAATTGTTCCTAGAATTTAATAGAAATCATCCCCCAGCCAAATTACAAAACTAAATAAAAATAAATAAATAAGGGTATGAAGAAAGGAAGGTTGCCTAGAGTGGTTAAGTAGTTGGCAAGAGCTGACAGTGGTTTGATGACATACTAGTATTCATTACAATTCTCACAATCCCTCCCACCAGTAAGGACCCATCTGAAGTTTTCTTAACCAAACAGGAGTAGCAGAATATGCCCCCTTTTTAGGAGGCTGGTTTTAACCCATCCCTAGCTCAGGTGAAACCCAGCTGAAGCCTCCTTTGTGCCCAAGGCATTCACTGCCGCTCAGCTCATCCCCTTCCTTAGCTCTTCTTACCAGTATCATCAGACTGCCTGCTTTCCAATGTGTCCTCTGTGGCTTTCAATGCTTCCTGGGAGCTGCCAGGATCCCTGCCTCTCATCAGCATCCCAGTGAGTGGTTTTGTACAGCCCTGGTTCTCCTTCCCCTTCCCCTTCCTCATTAGTCCCCACATTCATAAGCTAAAGAACACTCCACGCAAAAGACATTAGACATGTCTAGTGTCTATTTCTGTGAGTGACAGCCCTATTTGCCCATGAAACCCTGTGCCCTGGGAGAACAGGGACCCTAGGCATTCTCCCAGTACATCTAGGGGTTGTGCCTACTTCTGACCACCTTTCCCACCGGCCCCACAGTACTCTATGCATTGCTGCGTGTTGGGTTTCCTCTCCTGCTCCCTTTTTCTTCACATGAGCTTCGAACTGAAGCTGCTTCTGCTTCTGCTGTGGCTGGTGGCATCTTGTTCCCTTTTTCTGCATTCCCACGCCTGGCTGTCCGACTGCCTCATTGCCCGCCTTTATCAAAGTGCTTTGGACTCCAGGTATGTACAGTCACAGGACACACATGCTCTAGCCCTTGGGAGTGTGGTTAAGATAGGACACAGAAGACTGTCCTTACCCCACAGACCTGAACCACCACAAGCTGAAGGGTGAAGGGGTGCTGAGGGCTTTGTGGGCACTGGGAACAGGAAGGAGGCCATCAGGAAGGGATAGAGCAAGTAACGAACCTGACTGATCTCTCAGGCCAGGGGTACTGAAGGAACCCAAACTGATGGGAGCTGTCTACTTCTTCATCTTCTTCTTCACGCTCCTTGTCCTGGCTCGGCAGGTACATCTTTCAACTCAGTCTTCCAGGATCTCCCTGTGAATGACTGAGGCTGGGGCCCCATATTGGGAATTTGTCTTCCTTACCTCAGGGCTGAACCCAAGTAATTTATCCACTGGAAACGTCCAAGAGAGAGTCCTGACTCAAGTTTCTTACTTCTCCACTCTCTCAATACCTCAAGTTCTTACCATCACGCCCCTCCGCCCCTCCCCTCTCCTACCCCCCAGATCTAAGAAAAAACATGGTTACCAAAATTAAATAAATAATAAAAGTCTGCTGCTGGTTCTATCGAACCTAATTTGAAATAGACTTTAAAAGCCATCTCTCTCGAGGACAGTTGTACCTCGAACCTCATTTGCTGGGTGCGGGAGTTACTGGGGTCATTTCTCTATCACTCTAGAATGAGTATTACTGCCGCTTGGACTTCCTGTGGAAAAAGAAACTGAGGCAGGAGCGAGAGGAGACTGAGACAATGGAGAACCTGACTCGGCTCCTCCTGGAGAATGTACTTCCTGCTCACGTGGCCCCTCAGTTCATCGGCCAGAACCGGCGCAATGAGGTGACTGCCAGCCCCATACTCCAGAGCCCTGGATGCCACTGGGACTGAGCTTGGATGAAACTCTTGGATCTTTCTCATCTTTCCTGGGGTCCCCAAAGAGTGGGTCAGGTAGTCTACCAAGCCCCTGTCTTGTCAGAGCATAATCTTGGACTTTGTCCTTGGTGACCACAAAATCTGTGCTTCAAGTTTTTGTTTATAAGGAACAACTTTTGGACTAATACCTCAGTGGTAGATCTTGCCTGCTGTGCAGGAAGCCCATGGCAGGGAAAAGAGGAGGCAGGGAGGAAGAGGAAGAAGAGGAGAAGGAAAAAAGCAAACACGAATCTTCCTAAGTCATGACCATGCCATCCTTTCAAAAGCCTAGTCAAATAGTGATAGAATTGTCTGAAGAACAGTTCACCCACCCACCCCCAGCTCTGCACTACACAATACATGGTAGTTGTTAGCCATATGTGGCCATTCAGATTTAAATTTTAATTAATTAAAATAAAGATTTACTTGAAAAACCAAAAATAAAAAATAAAATAAAAATCTCGTTCTCTGAGGCTTAATGGTTAAATCCTGGCAACGTGGAACACACAGAAAGGTGGAAGGAGAGAATTAACTCCTGAAAGTTGTCCTCTGAGCTCTACACACAAGCTGTGCCATTCAGATAGACAGACAGACACACATAGACATACACACACATATACACACAGAGAGACACACACACACACACAATTAACTTTTTTAAAAAAATCATTCCAAAACAAAGAAATGAGGCCATTTTGCTACCTTCTCTTCAAACCCGAGTCCTGCTACATCTCCTCTCCGCTCAGTGCTCCTCTCCGCTCAGCACTCCTCCCCGCTCAGTGCTCCTCTCCGCTCAGCGCTCTTCGATCATGCTCTCCTGGGTAAGGCATGAGGCTGCTGGCCCAGGAGCTGAGCCCCCTCCTCCTGTTTGCAGGACCTCTACCACCAGTCGTATGAATGTGTCTGTGTCCTCTTTGCATCGGTCCCAGATTTTAAGGAATTCTACTCTGAATCCAACATCAACCATGAGGGGCTGGAGTGCCTGCGGCTGCTCAATGAGATCATTGCTGACTTTGATGAGGTCCAATCTCCTGTCGGCTCTTCCTCTCACTTCGCTCTCCTGACCATGAGGCCTAGCCTACTCTCCCGACATCTCTGACCCTCCCTGTCCTCTGATGCACGAGCTCTATCCCTCTGCTGCCCATTACCAACCATCTCCTTCCCACCATCATCTCCAGCCCTACAAGCCTGGTCCTTTAGCCTCCAAAGGCCTGAGACAGGTTTATGGAGAAGGGAAGGTGAAAGCAAAAGAGACAGGAAACACAGCCTCTTTTCTCTACAGCTGCTCTCCAAGCCAAAGTTCAGTGGCGTAGAGAAGATCAAAACTATTGGCAGCACCTACATGGCGGCCACAGGCTTAAATGCCACCTCTGGACAGGATGCACAGCAGGTACAGTAGCCCTTGCCAATCAACCCTGTTATGGGCCTCCATTGGTGGGCTTATTCATAAGTTGGACTTTTTTATGTGCCCCCATTGGCCCATCATGGTGGGTGGACCCAATTATCAGGATGCTGAGAGAAGTTGCAGCCATCTGGGCACCATGGTGGAATTTGCAGTGGCCCTGGGTTCTAAGCTGGGCATCATCAACAAGCACTCATTCAACAACTTCCGCCTGCGTGTGGGTGAGGGATCTCCTTTGTTGGAGCAATATGGTACCTTCTCTCCCCTCTCCGAGTCCTTCATTAGCTGCTCTCCAGCTCATCCCTGGACACCCCTCTCTTCAGACTTACTCCCTTGGCTAAAGCATAAAGCTGCTAGTCCAAGAGTTAAGAGAGCCACTCTTCCCTTCCCTAATCCACTCTCCTCCAACCCCAAAGACTCTCTCTCATAAAACTACCTGACCTTCCCACTTCCCCCAATATTCTTCTCCAGTGTCCCTCCCCTTCAAAACCTGCATTTCTTGTCAGGGTTGAACCATGGACCAGTAGTAGCAGGGGTGATTGGGGCACAGAAGCCACAATACGACATCTGGGGGAACACAGTGAATGTGGCCAGCCGCATGGAGAGCACAGGAGTTCTCGGCAAGATCCAAGTGAGAATCACGCTGGAGGCATGGGGGGGGGGAATGACAAGGATAAGGCCACTCTACACTCCCTTACCCCTCTTCCAATTGCAGGTGACTGAGGAGACAGCGAGGGCCCTGCAATCCCTGGGTTACACGTGCTACAGCCGCGGCATCATCAAGGTCAAAGGCAAAGGGCAACTCTGTACCTACTTCCTGAATACAGACCTGACACGAACGGGATCTCCCTCAGCGTCCTAGGCACCTGAGCGTCCATCCTCTAATATTCTCAATAAAATGTCTCTAGGCATCTGAAGCCTATGAATATAGCACTGTTTCTTCCCTAGTTGTCTTCCTAGGCCTCTCTTTCTGGGGGATCCTGTTTTACTGGGGTTTGCTTCCAAGAGATGGCAGGTACTGGTGCTCAGAATTCTAGATGATATAGCATCTGATGACCAGAGCCCCCGGTGAGACTTCCTTGGGAGATGGAGAGAAGAAAAGCCATCTCCCAGGACTCTGCTGAGAGGATGAGGGCCACTGGCAGGAAGTTAGGTTTGAACAATCAAGGATACTCACCATGAACATCATCAGCAAAGACATTTCACAAGAGCTGGTTTTCTCAGAAGGTCCCTGAGTCATGACTCCGGAGTGATGAGCTCACACAGTGGGTTCTTGTAACAAACCCCTTTAGGAGTCAGCAGCATGTTTCTCTAACTGGGATGTAGGTGACCTATTTCAGAATTAGAAACGTAGGGCTATATCTACCCATGCGTCCCTTCCAAAACTGTAAATCACGGGGAACTAAGGAACTGTTGAGAGGGACTCCACCAGAGTGGTCCCTCTCTGGGACCAGTAAACCCCTCCCACAATACACACCTCACTCACAGGCTTAACCGATTTCAGACTTTAGTTTTAATTGTAAAGCTGCCTGCAGCAGCCAGGCCAGAGCATGCTATCTCTCTGCCCTGACTTGCCCCACCCCTCCCTCTTTTCCACTTAAGCCCAGTCCCCAACATGTTCTCCAGGTACAGACGTGGGTCAGGCCAGAGTTATGAGTTGTGTCATAACTCAGCCTATTGCAGTTCACTTCGAAGACTCAGGAGGGGTGGAGGAAGTCATGCAGCTGTCGGTGGGGCCTGGCTCAGGACAAGCAGGCGTGTCCTTCGGAGTCTGGACCAGAGTGCCCCCGCGGCGGGTGCTGGACACCTCGGAGCCAGTGCCTTCCAGCAGCTTGACTACGAAGCCCACGCCCGCTGAACGCAGCAGGCCGCCGCCCGCGCACGCATACAGCACCGGATTCACGCTGCTACTCAGGAAGGCCAGCGCGATGAGCACGTAGCGGGCCAGCTTCAGCCGCTGCCCCGCAGGGTTGTCCTTGCCCCAGCCGGCCAGCGTGCGACCAGCTTCCACCAGGTTCACTAGGTGATAAGGCAGCCAGAAGGCGGCGAAGGCCAGGATAATGAGGACCACCAGGCGGCCGGTGCGGCGACTGCGGCGGAAGCGCCGAGCCTGCAGCCTGCGCCCGATGTCAGAGTAGCTGGCCACCACCGCCAGGAAGGGCAGCAGGAAGCCAGTGGTGGCTTCGAAGAGCAGATGGAAGGCTTTATGCCCGTCGTTGGGATACGTCGAGTCGCAGATCAGAGTCCTGTTGTTCTTCGGTTCTACTGTACGGTACACAAGGACCGGTATGGCCAGCAGAAAAGACATCACCCAGATGCCTGCCAGCACCCATCGGGCAAAGGTCTTAGTACGAACCTTTTGGGACACAAAGGGGCGGGCCACTGCCAGTGAGCGGTCCAGACTCATGATGGTGATAAGCAGGACACTGGCATACATGCTTACTCCACAGACATAGTGGCACAGGCGGCAACCGATCACAAAAAAACTCCAGGTGCCTCGAGCCAGAAAGTGTAGGAAAAACGGAGCAGTGAGCAACACGGCCAAGTCGGCCAGGGCCAAGTTCAGCACCAACAGGGCGGTGACAGAGCGTTTCCTCATCCTTTTCAGGATGCTCCATACCACAAAGCTATTGCCAGGAAGCCCCACAACCAGGGCCACAGAAAGTAGGACAATGGGCAACAGAGACAGGGACATGCCACCAGGAGAAGAAGGTGCTGCGGGAGATGTAGTGTTTGCAGCCATTGAAAGGACCTAGAGAGTGAAAGTGGACACACTCATGAGGGAGAGCCAGAGGATTCCTCTGACCGCCCCACCCCACCCCCATCACATTACCATGAATACTCTGGTCTCCAAAATCAGAAATTTCAGAGGCACCTTCAAAAAATATCACCCCATCACTGTCCCTCATTGTCTTAAAGGTGCCTGGTTGACTAGAAAGGCTAATTTCCTAACCAGGCTGTGGGGCCCCTTCTTTGCCACAAACCCAGTTGCAAAATGTACAGCAACAGCAGTATTTCCAAAACCCTTCACATTCATTTCCTTAAGAGACCCTGGAACTCAGCACCAGACTGGGAGATTTTCCTCAGAGCTGTGCACACCTTGAAAGGCTAACTCCTCTGTCTCCCACGAGGCCGCTGTCCAGTTTCTCCAGTCACCTATCCACTCTCTCTAGAGCTGATCACCGTGCACCAGAAAGCACAGGGCAGGGAAGACTTAATGGACAAGCCCTGAGAACTGTCCATTTACAGTGGTCATGCTTTCTTTGGGGATTCTGTTTCACCATCTCTCCAAGCTATACTTGACACACACACACACACCATACTGACGTACACTCACACATACACTCACATACACACACTCACACACAAAGCACACTGACACACTCACATACACTCTCAAACACATACATACACACACCATACACATACACATACACACACACACACACACACACACACACACACACACACAAACACACTATCCCGTTCCTAGGATACTTACAGGGTTTTCCAGATGCTGATCAGAAGGTAATGCCATGTCTAGTTGTTGCATATACAATCCTTGAATCTGTCTTAGTGCTAGGATCTTGGTCCCACTTCTAGGTCTGTCAGCTAAGTCAACCAGAGAGGAAGTACTACAGAACAGAGCAAAGGAGGCAGGGGCGGAGGAGCATCTTCCTGAGGGTGAGGCTGAAAACCCCCACTCCTCCTTTCACTGTTGGGGAGGGACAGTCTGCGTTTCAGCAGTCCAGAAGGGAGGAAGACTCCTTGGGTGGGGCTAAGTGAGTAGTAGCCAGGAAAGGGCAGTGAGATAGGAAAGAGAGGTGCCAGGGGTGACTTGGCTAGGGGTGTGGTCTAGACTGGAGGAGTGAACAAAGTTACAGCTTGTATCCTAAGGAGAAGGAAGCAAGGGAGAAGGCTCAGATTGAGACTGCTGATTATAAAAATATTATTTTTGTGCTTCACATTAACAATGTGCACATACTGTGGGTTTTTGATTAATGGGTTTTTAGGTTAGGTTGACTGCCTATGTTCTGTGTATCATTGTTAGTTAGGGTAACATCATGATATCAAAACAGCATATTGGGGGTCAAGGCCATCCTAGGCTATATGAGACTGAGAGAGAGACAGATCCATAGACACAGGAGGGGAGGGAGTACAAAGAGAAAGAATATCAACGCAAATGTGAAATAATGAACAAAGGAAACCACAACCTAATCTTGACTTCAGGTCAGACCATGACCGTGGTGTGGTTATAGGAGACAAGCCACACCCAGCACTGTCCATTACAGGCTAACCAACTCCCATTCTCTTTGAGAGACACTCGTCTAAGTGATCTCCTTCGTGACACAAATATCAATGTCATCCCCTTACCTTACCCACTTGACCATTTAGCATTCCTGGTGGACTTTCTTACTGGGATCTAGGCAAGAATCCACACTTCTCTCCTACATCTCTACAGCCTTGCACCATCTGGTTACAACTATGACAGAGAACGTGTGGGCTAAGCTAGGAGATGCTGAGAACGAAGAAGAGACAGGATGGCCCAGGGCCAGCAGTGCTTTCCCCCAGCCCTGCCACAAGAGCATGTAAGAATTTGGAAAGACACACAGCCACCACAGTGTTACCCTTCTACTCCTCTCGGCAAAAGAAAACATGCTGACTCTCTTTGAAGTGGCCTGTGGCACCAAGAACACATTCCTTCAGTCTTTCTGGTTGTCTTTCACCCTGTCACACCTTAGGAAAGACAAAAAGCGGTGTGATGGCGGCCACCGAGGTCCCTTATGTTCTCCAGTGCCCTCACTTGCTGTGGATGAGAAAAGCCAGATCAGCACTGGCCCAGGAACTGTCAAGCAGAGGATATGATGAAAACAGGAGCTGAAACCACAGCAAGAACACAGGGCAGAGTTGAGGAAGGAGCTCTCTGACCACATGGGGTGTGTAAAGCGAAGAGTATACAGCAGGGGAAGTTCAGGAACCTCTGCTCCACAGCACCAGGACAGGAAGGAGTCTGTGTTTCAGAATGAAGCCTCGGGCTCAGAGCTTGAGGATCATCCACAGCCTTCCAAGCACACAGTAGGTTGTCTTTGCACTTTCTCCCAGGCTATTCCTCACTCCATCTTCCTTGTGAAGCAGTTTTTCCTCCTCCAGAGCCTAGGCATGCTAAGTACACTTCCTCCCTCATTCAGAAGTCACATCAACCCTGGTTTTGGTGTTTGTAGCATGACCCTGGAGACTAGGTTTCCTTTTTTGTGTGTGTTGGCCTCTGCCTGAAGGGTGAGAAATGCCATTGAAGTAGAACCCAGAGTAGCCACTTGGGAGGTCAGCTATCTCAGTTTGCTGGGGACTGATGGGTGTGGGAACAGGAATTTTGAGGGCTAGTAAGAATGCTCTGAGCCAACTAGGATAGATTGGTCATGTGTGTACCCATGATGTTTCCTAGAGGAAAAAAAAAAAACTTGAATGCTATGATCCTCCAAACCAAAAGAGTCATTCAGGTTTTTGATCTGATGATAAGGAGGTTTCTAAAGATGGAGGCTAGAAGTAATGGAGAAGGCTTAGGAACATTTGACACTTTGGGAAGAGGGAAGGCAACAGGGAGAAAAGACAGAAAAAGGAAAGGTACCACGGCCTTGAGCATGTCTTTCAGTTTTCCAGATAGCCCTGCCATTCCCCACACCTCTTCCTTATCAATCTTCAAACTTCCTCTTGTAAAGCATGTTCTGGCTCCTGGGCTTCTTTGTAGGCCTGGTGGTTTTTTTTTGGGGGGGGGGGGAATGCAGGGGTGAGCCCAGGGTTAGAGGAAAGGGTTAAGTCTTGGGATCCCAGGTTTCTGTACCCCTATCCGGCCATGTGCTTTTGTCTTACTGCCAATCACCAGTCAAGCAGAAACGCTTTCCCTTCACACTACACAGATTTCTGTCCCCGCTCGTAGGCCAGTTTCTTCCTCCTAAATGCTTCTAAAAATAGATTTTTATCCACCCCCATCCAAACTCTAGAGTGGTTCTCCAGATAGGCCTGGGGAAACAGGTAACCTGGATGGGGAGGCAGGGCAGAAAGCCGCTGAAGGGTGACACCATCCAGTCTGACACCATCCAGTCCTGACCTGTCTTGGTAGAGAACGAGATGGCTTCAGTACAATCCAGGTGCACACTTAAGCCATCAGCTAATGGCTTCCCCGTGTATTGCACAAGAATAGCTACTGGCAACGTGTAAAGTGGTGTTCGTACACAGATCCAGGCTGTACTGCAAGCACAAATTTTGAACATAGGCCACAATCACCTTCACAATCCCATGGTTTGGAGGAATCAGGTCCAGATCGAGAAATCCTTATTCAGTCAAACCCAAACTGCAATCAGAGAAGGGTCCCCAAGTACTCCAGAGCTCTGGGAACAATGAAAAGTGGCAGGGGAGCCCCGAGGTGGGCTTTGGGGTCTTGTCTACCATTCCTGACTGTCTTTCTCCATCCTGCCCCCGCCTCCAGGGTCTCCGTTTCCCCTGCCCTGGCCCATTACTTTCAGCCTAGGAGTAGTTCGTAGCTCCATGGTACCCTCCCTAGAGCAGCTGCCCCCTCGGGCCTCCCCAGAGCCCTCGAAGAGTCGAGTAAGGAACCGAGGCCCCGCCCGCGGCAGCAAATCCCCGGCAGTGAAGACATAGAGCACTGGGTTGACGCTGGAACTGAAGAAAGCCAAGGCTGTAGTTCCAGCACGCGCCGCCTGGCCCGCTCCGCCGAGCCTGGCCAGGGGTCCTTCCGGCGGAGCGAGCGCGGCCACCGCCTGTAGGAGATTGACCGCGTGGTAGGGGGCCCAGAGCAAGCCAAAGGCCAGTACGATGGCGCTCACCAGACGACCCACCCGGGTGCCTTGTCGCCCTGAGCCCCAGCGCGCTCCCCGCAACCGCGCCAGCGTTACGCCGTAGCAGCCGAGCACGGTCCCAAAAGGCAGAACGAAGGCAGTCAGGGTCTCCAGGCTCAGATGAGCTGCGGCGTGCACCGCCGATGGGTGGCACAACTGACACACGCGATCGCCCCAGAGGTGGCGGTAGACCGCGGCCGGGACGGCGAGCACCAGGGCGGCCAGCCAGACCCCCAACAGCAAGCGGCGGGCCAGGGCCGGGCTGCGCAGTCGGGGAGCCAGGAAGGGCCGAGTGACGGCTAGGCAGCGCTGCAGGCTGAGCAGGCCGGTGAGCAGCACGCTGGCGTACATGCTGAGCGCGCACACGTAGTACACTGCCTTGCAGCCCACCTGGCCCAGGGGCCAAGCCTGTCGGCTCAGGAAGGCCACAAAGAGCGGCGTGAGCAGCAGCACCGCGCCATCGGCCAGCGCCAGGTGCAGCACAAGTGTGGCCGCCAGTGGTCGCCCGGCGGTGGGTCGCCAGCCAGCCAAGCTCCATACTACGAAGCCATTGCCTGGCAGTCCTAACAACGCCGCCAGCAGTAGAAAGGCAGTGCCGGTAGCCCGGGAGCCCTTCCAGCTCAGCAGCGTCTCGTTCCCAGGCGGACGGTAGCAGACAGACATCCTTCTGGAGGGAAGCTGCAAGAATCCACGGAATGGGGCATTCAGGATTGGGGCAAAGGCCCACATTGCCTCTGATGCTAGATGAGAAGGAACCGTTTCTCTCCCCCTCCCCAAGTTCTCTGTAGCTTGTCTCCCTTCTCTCCAAGAAACCAATTCAAACAGCTCCTTAGAGCCTGTAGCTTCTGTTCTCAGTCAGCTAACCTTCCCTGCTCTAGTATTCCCAGAGGCCACTGGTAGCAAGGCACTGGTGTTCCCCAGTTCAACTGTAGACGGTAGTTGTCTCCACTTCTGGCCTTCTGAATATCTGCCTCTGTATCCAATCTCAGTCCTTATATCTCAGTGCTAAGGTGGCTGGTAGGGAGTAAAGGAGAATGGACAGATCTACTTACCCAGCTGGGAGAGAAAAGCGGTGTGGGGTGCAGAGAGATTTATGGAGGTGACAGGAGAAGCCAGATGCGGTGGAAGAGGTACCTAATCCTGCACCGTGCCTGTCCCATTTGCGGAGAGAATGAGTCGAGAATGGAGAGGGACAAGATGGTGCTCACCCTGGGCCCTCCTTCATCCTACTCCTTCCCATCACTGACAGGCCCAGGCATGTGGAGACCAGCCTCCCCAGGAAGCAGGATAAGGCTGAAGAGGTGCAGAGAAGGCGCTCAGCCTGCAGAGAAGGGCAGGAGTACCTGCTAACGGCTACTCCCACATCTCCCCCACCTCTGGCCCCAGTCCTTCCAGCCCACCTTCTGCAATGCTTATGTTCTGTAACCTCCATGGCTTGCAGGCAACAGAAAAGCAACCCAAACAAGGCTCTCTCCTGGCCACTCTCCCTTTGGTTGTTCCAACCTTCTGTCCCTGCGGAGCAATCTCCTCTGCTTCAGTCTTTTTGAGGGCCTGCAGAGTCCGTCCACCCTGCAGCTATTACTGAGTTGCCAGTGACAACTTTTCAGTTTAAGACCTGATGCTCAAGCCTAAGGCTACGTATGTAGATAAAGAGCTTACAACCCGGTTTGGGGGTGGAGATCATAGCACACGGAGAGATGGAGCATGTTAAGATCAGGAAGAGGAAGGGTTGGAGAGGTGGCTCAGTGGTTAAGAATACTTGCTGCTCTTTCAGAGGACCTGCACTTGTTTTGCAGCAGCTCACAACTATTTGGAATTCTAGCTCCATGGATTCTAACACTGTCTCTGGCCTCCAGAGTTCACACATACCACAGCAGGAAGAGGAGAGCAATTCAGTGCATTGTACCCCATCACTAGGCTTCAGGATCCTGAGGTATACAGAATACCTAAGGCAGAACACTACTAGGGCATGCCATTGCTGGAGGATTGCCCTAGAGGTGTTATACCCCTATCATTTGCCCTTGATTGGCACCTGAAATGGCCCTGGCTGGGCTCCAGCTGGCATAAGACATGAAGCTGGCTAGGTCATGAAGCTGTCCGGCACTTTGTGTTTCTCAGGACTCAGGAAGCTAAGGAACTAGGAGAGTCTGGGAGGCTCCCAGTCAGGAAAACAGGGACTGTGCTCATTTAAAGGGTTTACTAAGAGGAAACCTCAGTTTCTGTGCAATTGTCTGCCGTGTTTACAATTAACATCAGAAATGAAACCTTGGACATCACAACTAAAATTCTTAGGCTGGGGAAAGGCTCAGCCAGCAAAGTGTGAGGACCTGAGTTCAGCACCCAGAAACCATGTTAAAGGGGTGCATGGTCTATAATCCTAATGCTGGCAGATGGAAATGAGTGGGCTTCTAGGGCTCACTGGCCAACTGTCCTATCCAGCATGGTGATCTCCAGGCTTGTGGAAGACCTTGTCTCCAAAAAAAAAGAAAAAGAAAAGAAAAAAGAAAGAAAGAAAAGAAAAAGGAAAAAAAAGTAAAAAAAAATTGTTACCCGAGGAACAATATTCAAGTCCCCTGGCTT